GAATTGGGTATGTAGGGTCTGAGGGTGTCACTGCAGTGTGACGGATTAGTGAAGATGGCAGACACGCAGGTTTAATTACACAGAGGGACTCATCAGCTGCTCATCAAACCTTGCTCTAATGAAAATGACCTTACAGGTCTTTCCCATCTCTGTGCCAATTACATTTGGTATTTCTGCGCTGAGCAAACAACCAAGTTCTGTTCTTTATTGCTTTATTTTATTTTTAAATTTTGGCTAAAGAACAGAAACTGTTTCAGGACTACTGTCCTTGACAGATTCCCAGTAGGTGACTAAGTGCTCTGAATCTCCTGCAGGCAACATTTTGCTAAGTCACTGCCAGCTGCTTTTATTAAGAGTTGGTTAATCCAGGACCCTCTTTCCTCCCCGCTCTTCTGGCCCTAGTCCTACCTATGCTTTGGTTCTTTGTGGACCTTCCTCAGACAAAGCTTTCAGCTGCAGGGACAGCTGTGGTTATGGTGTGACTGGCTAGAAACTGGGTGATCTGGTCCCATCATAGATACTAGCATCTGTAATACTTCCTGGTCCGGTAGGTTAGGGAACACTGGAGGAAACAGCAGGGATTATGCTGTGACTGGATACTGGGGAAAGGCAGCCTTGAGAGGAGAGCGAAGCAATCCCTCAATGGAAGCAATGAATTCAACTCACCTACTTACACAGTAGAAAGCAACCAGTTTGAAGACATCCTCAAATACAAGGACAGATCCTTCCAGGTACAGAACTGATGAGAAACAAAAAAGACAGTCAGCAACCATTTTGTTTGAGCTGTATGGTAAAAAGAAAGATGGTGAGTTTGGCTCACACATCTTATATTCTGTGTTTGTCCAGTATTTGCAGGGACTAATATGAAGAAGCATGAAGAACTGGCCTCAGCTGGCCAAACGCAAGGAGATTCTTCAGGGAAATGCTAGCGAAGAAATGTCTCAGCTTGGCTTTCTGAATGGCAAGCTGGAGATATCAGAGCATTGTAATAGAAACAGTAATAGAAACAATGGGGGAAAAAAAACACCCAGGTCACAGCTAAAGGGTTCATTACAAGATGTGCAGACCCACAATACCTATGGGGCTGACCTGCTGACTCTCCATGCTGGAATCTGGTTTGGCCTGGATGGACAAAGTGCTTTGAAGCAAAAAAAAAAATGAAATTACTGTTTCATTACTATGTGTGTGGGCTCTGACCTAGGTCACGCAGGCAATGTGAGCACAGCCTATTTGTATCTCCCTGTATTCTCCCTCTCATTGTGTTACACAGCGACAGCACTTTCCTTTAAGTGGCAAAATACAATCTACATCATATTGCAGAGTTCTCTAAGATGACCTCCTTTATAACAGCATGCTATGCCATTGTGCAGTGCAAATCTTACATGTTATTGTAGAGCTTTTGGTTGCTAAGAGTGAAAAAATTCACCTTCTCATGGAGAAAGTTTCACATTGACCGATAACCCAAGGCAGAAAGCAAGAGATGGATCTGCATGAGAAAGGTGTCCATCTTTCCTTCAGCTTTATTGTCTCACAAATTGTCTGTGCTGTACACAACACACCATCACAGAGACTGACAAGTTTAAGGAAATCTGTTGTGGATCATCAAAAATGCCCACATACTGGTGGTAGAGAACTGGTGCCCCAGAGCTGCACCACAGGAGCACACCAGCATCCCTGGGAGTGGCACCAGCTCATACCCAGCTCATACCCTATATTCATATAGAATAACAGAATCATTTGGTTGGAACAGACCTTTAAGAACACCGAGTCTAACACCTGTCCACCACTAAACCATGTCTAAACACCTGATCTACTAATCTTTTCAATACCTGCAGGGATGGTGACTCAACCACTTCTCTGGGCAGCCTGTTCCAGTGCCTAATAACCCTTTCAGTAACAATTTTTTCCCTAATATCCAATCTAAGCCTCCCCTGGCACAACTTGAGGCATTTCCTTTCATCCTATCACTTGTTACTTGGGAGAAGAGACCAACACTACCTCTTTACAACCTCCTTTCAGGGAGTTGTAGAGGGTGATAAGGTCTCCCCTCAGCCGCCTCTTCTCCAGACTAAACAACACAGAGCAGTGCCCACAACTGCTCTGCTCCTTCCTTCACTCTGTTTTGTAGGCCACACTTGAGAGCTGTAGACACAAAGCTCAGCTGTTGTGATTCAGCTTCCTCGATCTGCTGTGATTCACAGCCCTGTGAAATGTCTCCAGCTTCATGCCCTGCCTGGTTATTCATTTCCCCAAAAGCAGGGCCTCCAGCACCTGTGGGAGAGAGGCATCTGCCTGCTTTCCTCTCCCCTGGCTCTGTGCACTGGCTGTTGTTCTCCAGCCAGCAGAGAATCCCACTGGAAGGAAATGCTCAAGCTCTTTCTTGTTCAGCCTCGCAGTTCATTCCCCAGACAAGGCATTTCCTTCTTTTACTTCTTCCTTTGTCCTAGCCCAGGCCCTGCAGGTTGCTATTTTGGGTTGAATAGACCAAAGTTGGCATTTTTTTAGAGATGCAAAGGCTGTGTAATTCTCAGAAGTCATTCTTAACGTCAATTTGTGTTGGATCAGCACAAGCAGATCAACCTCAGTGTGCGCACCAATACCAGACTGCAATGAGGAATTTAAAACATGCTTTGAGCAAAACTATCCCTTTCCCTTACTTTTCTCCCACAACTGGAAAAATAAATGTTCAGCAAGTATCTTCTTTTTCCTTATTAAGAATCATGTTTCAATCAGGGATTTTCATTAAACATCTACCACGAACAATTCCTGTAGTTTGAAATCCATCTGCTTTGCAGCTCAGACACAGGAAACAAAAATGAAGACAAGCCCCAGTGCTGTTCCAGAGAATTAACCAAAACCCAAGAGTATGAACTCACTTGAATCTCCAGCAATTAAATAAAGCCCTTTGTGTGGATGACAGTTTTAAGGACTGTTTTTCTGTTAAAAACCACACGTTCACTTTGGCATCCCGAGTTGCAGGTGTACGTAGGAGAGGAGGCTGCACCTGTACATGTTTACAGACATGAGCAGATCGCTTGGGTTGGGATATGGAGTTGTTTCTGTGCCAGGAAGCTCTGCTACTTGGGAGCCTGAAATTTAGACCTCAGTGTCAGGAGTATCCATGGAGAAGTGCCTTGTCACCGTACAGCTACTTCTCCTCCCCCCATATATAGTTAAATAGCATAAAACTCCACAAATCACCAGGAATTATATAGTTATACTAGTCTAAGTAGAAAAGCTGCTGGAGCTTAAGGAGAGGAGTTTTCAGCAGGTGGCATACAGAAACTTGAATGTCCTTGGTCTGCTCTGCGAGGTCACACAAGGTAACAAAACCAAGCGTATTTGTCAGCAGGCTGGAATTCATCATACAGAAACCCACAGCTCTGCTGGGACATTTTTGAGTGGCCTGCAAACAATTAAAAATAGAAAAACACTGCTTTAGATGGATTGTTACTCAAGGTATGAGCACCATCAGGACCAACACTCTGCCTGAAATGTATTCTGAGCAGTGACAGTGTCAAGCAGCCTGCGCAAGGCTACCACGGCCACTTGGACCCGCTCCCAGCACAGTACCTGTGGGGAAAGCCTTGCAGTCTTCTGTCAGGAAGGTTTTCTTCAGGAGAAACTATAATACATTTTCCCTAACCTGTTTTCATCTGGACACCTGCTGACCACCAGCAGGCACCACTGATCAGTAGTGGCTTCCTGACCGCTTTGCTATCAGGTGATGATGAGTTCGGGACAGGAATATCTCTTGTGGCAATGGTTGTCATTTGCTTGTGGAGACCATTACGTGGGTCCTGCTGCACAGTGCTGATTCTTGGAAAGAATAATGTAACTTGCAGAAAGTAGCAAGTTTGTGCAGCTAAAAGGGCTCTGCTGACTGCTGGGGACAAAGTGTGTCTCCTCCAGTGCCATTGCTGCTCTCAAGGCACCCTGCTCTGCGAAATGATGGGGAAGAGGTGCTTTTCTCTGGCTGTGGATGTGCTGAGGACATCTCACTGACACAAGCGCTGCCGCTCAGGGAGGGATTGTGATGTTGCCATTTATAGGAACTCATGACTTTTGCAAAAGCTACAAGCAGGCACTTTTCTGCCAAACGGCCGTAATCCTCCTGAAAACTGCAGAGAAAAATTCATCTTTCTTTGGCTCATGAAACTATGCCCAGGGAACTTGAAGAGCAAGGACATCTCACCAGAACAGTGTCAGGATGCCAAGAGTATGATCAAAAACAACAGCAAAAATAGGCTGGGGTCTGTGAGCTAAACATACTGCCACAGCATATTGAGTTTTACCTGGTATTTAGAAGCCCACAGAAAAAAGTCACCTTCAGGAAATGAAAGAGGAAATGTGTGGGTCAATGGGAAATTTTGACTAGTCTGAAACAAAGATATGAAAATTAACTGAAATTTTATATGAGTGATAGAAGCCTTAGTAACTCAGAATGGTGGTTCGCTGTTGACCATACTCTGTTTTGTGTCCTTTGTGCAACTCAATAAGTGAACATGAAACAGCTAGGTTATGAACTGCTATAAATATTTATGATTGTCTAATCTTTCTCTTTGCTAGGAGAAGTCATGCTCTGAGTGTCATCTTTAGGCACTGTCTGGAATCTGTCTTCATGTTCCCTTTACTCTTTAGATCTCCCCATCATTTCTCCATCCAGATGCTGATGTTTTTGAGTCATGCTGTCCCTGGGCATTCTGCCTTCCTTCCCTCTTTGATTTTTCCCCACAGAATTGTGTTTGCTAGTCCTGTTTTTCTGGTCACATGGACAAACCACCCCAATTTCCATCTTCTTACTGCTGACATAGGCTCACGGGACCCAATTACTTCAGCTGCTTCTTCTCTAATGACGCTGTTAGTCCCATCCACTGGTTTTGATATCTGTGTAATCCTTCAGAGACATCTGAATTCAAAGCTATGAGTTCCTTATTCTGCAGTCGTTGTGTTGACAGAGGACCACTGAGAACACAACCATTCTCAGAAGTCCTGCTTGGATGTGCTTGAGATGCTCTTATTTTTCCAGATTCTGGCAAACTGTGAGACTTGTCATCATGGGAGTGATTCCACTTTCCTATTTCTGTTTTAAGATTATAACTCCACAGTCTCCTAACCAGACCTCTCACTGCTGTTTTGCTCCTTTGATGAGTCTCTGGCTTGATAGCACAGTTGCTGTGACCTTGCTTGCACTGGCCACTTTTGCTGTTGCTTTGCTACTCTCAGCCATTTACTTGCTATGAAGATGGGATCATCCAAAGCAGAGGTTCCTGACTTTCCCACTTCCAGACACTGATGTTCCTGGCTGTTGCACGGGCCAGGTTAGCAGTTTTCTTCCCCTGGGTACTGCAATAGAGGACTGCAGTGACTACCATAGCCTGGGTGCTGAGGCTTTTGCATTTGTCATGGCACACTGCGCTTGTTGTAGCTGCTGTGCTTTACAGAGATGTGTGAGAGCCTGATGTAATCCCTTCAGTTATTGCTTCAGTTCCCTGAGCACACGTCAATCTCTTTCTGTCCCTTATTCGTGCACTAGGCTGTGGTGGTATTAAGAGAAAAAAGCTTTGGCTGGGTAGAGGGAAATTTAGATTACCTTGGTAGAAGTCCTTATGGTGACTTTCTGCCACAGGTCTGCTTGAAAGTTCCTAGTATCTGTCCCTGACATTGTTTCTTGTGTTACTTTTTTATTACTTTCTGGACATATTGCATGACTTTCCAGTGCTGTGTTCTTGTAAAACG